GGATGAGGCTGGAGGTTACCCAGGCTGCATCCAGCACCCCAAAACTCATCCACATCACAGGCGAAAAAACTCGTGTCTTTTCTAACACGCTGGGGCAATTTAAGGCTTTTTTGTGAAGCACACTGGGCCCATCCTGCTCTGTGCAAAGCTCCTGCGCCTCCCCCCCGCGCCCCCCCCCCCCCATGTCATCTCTCATTATTCGGTAACGTTATCCCCCCATTTTCCCCCTTCCTCTGCATTTTTTTTTCCCTTTAGCGGAAACTGTAATCAGTGGAAGATAAATACACCGAAGGCGAAGGTGGCTGGGGGGATGGCTCAGGAGTCCCCTCTGACCTTAGGGTTGGACAATCAAGCCAATGCCTCCAGCCGTGCCCCAAACAATGCCCCCAGCCGTGCCCCAAACGAACCCCCAAATTATAACTGACAAAGGCAAGGCTTCGGCTCTCTCCGTAACCTCCCCGAGCACTGCTTTGGGGCAAAAGACAGACAGCGGTGAGCTGGTTTTTAACTTTGTGCAATTACAAACTCTTATTCCTGGAAGCCCATCAGCATGGGGAACCGGTTTCCAATTCCTCCATCAAGGTGTCAGCGGATCTGGTTAAATCCAATTCCCACGGATGGGTGGCAGCGAGATGGCAGGGGGTCTTCAGGGGACCCAACCCATCCCCTTCCCCGTTCCTTCTCTAATGCCGCAGAGCGCTTAGCGGTGCTCATTTTTGGAAAGCTGATTTGAGGTTATTAAAGCATCTTTGATAGAAGTGATCTGGCCCGACTCTGCACGCTGTAAACCTGTCAGACGCACGCCACCAGCAATTAGGGTGGCATTTATCTGGTCCCACAAGCCTGCAATGCCTGAGCTAATGGGGAAAAGCTGTTGATCCGTTACCAAGGCTCATCCTTGAGCAGAGCAGAGGACTCAGGCAGGCGCCCCAGGCGTGGAGCTGCCTCCCTGCAGTACGGAGATGGGGTGGAAAAGGGGTGGAGAATTGAGCTGGAAAGCAAAGGTTTCTGTGGGGGACTGGGGAGCTCTGACTACACTGGGCTGCAGCATGTTTTAGAGGAGATGTGAGTAGGTGGGGAAGGGGTTTTCGCCACCAGCATCCTCTGAGAAGCTCCCTGGAGCATCCCACGGGGTTTTGTGGTGCAGGAGAAGGTCCCTCCATTAAAACCAGCAATAGGGGCTGAACAAAATGCCCCAACCTGGGCATGGCCCAGGGCTTGCAGCTCTCCAACCACCCAGGAACCACCGGCACCTGGACGCATTCTGACCCAACTCCAATCTTAAATCTCCATCCCAGTGTGCCTGCCAGCCCTGTACGGGAATCGCTCGGCACCACCCGGCTCCCACGGCCATTTAGCTCTTGCCTCTGCAGGTTTGGGGAGATAGGAACCATCCAGAAACAGGGCTAGATCCTACGGAGCTGGTGCGAGAGTTGATTTAAGAAACCTTTCCTCCTCCTCCTTGTTTTCAGCCAAATTAGAGTGGGTGAGAGAAGCCATCACTTATGGAAAAATCCTATAGCCAGATTTTAAATCGGGGGCGAAGCCAAAGGGGGTTTATAAATTTTATTCAGACATTTACTAGGGTTCTGTTGAAATCATTGCCAGTTCAGTGGGGAGCAGTGGGTGCCCTTGGTGACAGCACTTTCTGAACCAAGCCCCAGTCTATAATTTCCCCAGAAGCCCTCCAGGGTGGCCATAAACCCACAAAGAAACGTCTCTCGCCCTGTTACATCCTGTAGCTCCTTCCTAGCCTGATGGTTCCCATTTCGGTCCCAGGCTCCTGGAAAACTCAGGGACAACCATGGCTGGACTTCATGTATTTTAATCCAGCGGCTTGTTAGCTCGCTGAAGGAAAACAGGACCAAAAAAGGAGTTTAACTAAAAGGGGCAACTGGAAAGCAGAGACTGGCAGAACATTTGAAGCTGCAGGAACAACGGCTGGAGGGAATCTGGAGAATTTTATTTGTGAGCCTTTAAACACGAACGGCGGTGAAGGGCAGCCCGCGGTTTCCTGGCCAGCGGGCCTCAAACCCGCATGTATTTCGGGCACGACGCCATTCATCATGTCTTTACCCAACTGTGAAGGCCATGTCACAAATACAAGAGCATGGGCTGTTTCCAGCCCAAGGGATGGTCAACTAAGGTCAAAATGCACCTAGAACACAATAAAAGACCCAGAGAAATGCCAGCGCCTGCAGTGAGGCCCTGGGAGGTGGACAGAGCTCCTTTTCCTCCCCTTCCCATCCAGGGATGCTCTCCTCTCCACACGGTCCCAGCAGTTTGGCCTCATTGTGGTCAAAATGATGCAGCATCCCTGCATGTGCCCGGGAGATGGGGAACAGGGCTGGTGGTGGTGCCCAGGTCCCACCTCCGCATCCCTTCATCTTCTCCCAGTTCAACGCTTCATCCCTTAACAGGTCAGGGTGTTGGAGGCACCCAGCACCCCCAGGCCCTGGCACTGGTCCTTGCTATAGCAAAATGCCAGAGAAGCCATCTGCTCTTTCCAGGAAGCCACTTCCAGCAATGGAAATAAATTTAACCCTCCCTCCGCTGCTGCATCCCCTGGCACGGCTTGCATTTGGCACTCCATGCTGTTGGTTGCATCAGCCAGCAGCATGGTTTTCAGAGAAGGGTGCAAGGAAACTCTCCAGTAGCTCTAAGTTTGGACCCTGCTTTGGGCAGAAGGTGATTAAGTCCCAGGGACAACCTGCCAGCAGATATTGGGGTTTCTCTGGTCCTCATGGCTCATCTCAGGATGGGACAGCCCTTGAGGGTGGTATACTCGGGTACAAAGGGACCTTAGGGACTTGATGGAGAACTTGTTAGTGGAGGTTTCATGGCTTGAATTATTCAGAACTAAGGTCCAAGAAGATTTTTCTGGCTTTAAAGATCTTGGAATCCGTAGTTTCCTCCTGCTCAACAGCTTGGTGGTGTCTTGAAGCAGGAGAGTTAATATCCCTTCCAGTAGATTTTGTTACTTGCTCAAGTATCACCTGAAAATGTTGCACATCTATTTAATAAGTATCAAGATAGCTTATTAGCAAGTATTTATTTATTGAGCATATTCAGGGAGCGGTAATTCCTGCCATCATGGCCTCTGCAATGATATAGAGCAGAAAACCTCAATACAACCCTGCTATGAATCAGAATGGCATAAAACTATTAACATTTCAAATAATTCCAAAATACTTTCCCACCAGTAGGTACAGATTGGATCCAGATGCATTATTAACAGAAAGAATAATTAACCAGTACCTCCATAAGGAAGAACGACAGTGAGATGTGTTCCCCATGAAGCCTTTGTAGGCAGCTGCCTGGGTATCTCAGAAAAAGACTTCACAAACTTGCCTAAACCTGATGATATTAGTGACAAAGAGGAGATTAATCTCAACCTGGCTGAAAGCCCAAGATCAATATGAAGAAACCAAACTACACCCTCAGCTTCATGTTTCCGTGAGCCAGCAAAGCCAGAAATAAACACTGCGGAGGCTGAGCTCTGCGAGACGCAGTGGCTTTTGTTCCTAGCTCTGAAGTCCAGGGTCGGATGAGCAGATGCTCGTTGGGAATCCTGTGTCACCTTGGGGACATGCCACAGCCGGGGCTTCAGCGGGTGCTGGAGGTGGGAGCTGAGACCCACATCTCAGATGTGTTCTGGTGCTGAATTTCCATTGCCGTCCATGAAAACTTGACCTAAACCCTCAGCAAACCCAAGCCCAAGACACCTTGTGGGCACGTCCCCATTGCGGGGGGGCTGCGAGATGCAGTCCTAGCAGTCTGGGTCAAGTGCTGCCCCAGAAACCACTGAGACTGGTATTCAAAATCAGGTCTGGGTGGTTTTAGCAAGACATGAAACCACCACAGATCTTTGCAAATGTTGGGTTTAATCCTAAGCTCCAGCAGGTCATGAAATATGTTTTGATCCTCATGGAGACCACAGGGTTGCAGGTATGCTGCTCCCCGCAGAGCCCCAGGAGCCCGCCGGGAGCACGGCTGGTATGGAGCAGGGCAGTGCAGACCCCCAGGAGGGCTCGAGCCTGTCCGGGTCCCCATGGGGGGGTCTGTAGGGTCTTGCACAGGTCTGGCTCTCATGTGGCCTCTTCTGTGCTTTCCCCACAGGCGAGAGCCTGAGCCCGAGCCGCGGGGCAGCCAAAAGGAAGAAGAAGCAGAGGAGGAACCGCACCACCTTCAACAGCAGCCAGCTGCAGGCTCTGGAGAGGGTCTTCGAGAGGACGCACTACCCTGACGCCTTCGTACGGGAGGAGCTGGCGAGAAGGGTCAACCTCAGCGAGGCGAGAGTCCAGGTGAGCAAAGGTTTGTGTGGGAGAAAACACCACCCTCTGCCTTGTCCCCAGGCAGGAGCAGGGACTGTCCCCTCTCTCGTTTCATCCTGCACACAACCGTGATCGGTAGGACGGACGCTTGGGACATCCCTGCTCACACCGGGTCCCCGCTGACCACCTTCCTTCCCTGTGCAGGTCTGGTTTCAGAATCGGAGGGCCAAGTTTCGCCGTAACGAGAGGGCGATGCTGGCCAACAGATCGGCATCGCTCCTCAAATCCTACAGCCAAGAAGCAGCCATCGAGCAGCCCATGGCGCCGCGGCCCACCGCGCTGACCCCGGAGTATCTCTCCTGGACCAGCACCTCCCCGTACAGGTAGGTGTGGGTGTTGGAGGAGCTGGGGAGGGGACAGGCTGCCTAGGGACTGCCCCACCGCAGCGGGAGGGCAGCCCTGTGCTGCTCCTGAGGACATGGGGAGTTTTACGGGGTCAAAAGGAGCTTGTCCAGCTTTGCTTTGGGAACCCATTTCAGCCCCGTCTGAGCATCCCCTGCCCACTGCCGAGCAGGCTTCCCTGCCTCCATGCATTTTGGGGCCAGAGCGGGGCCCTGGTCCTCGCAAGGGATTCACTTGGCCTCATGCTGACCCTTCCCACATCTCGACACGGGAGGTGGCATGGGTCCCTTCTGGCTCCCAGCTCTCTGCAACCAGCCATCTCGTCCAAAAGCCCAAGGCAGGGCCTCCTGGTGCATAGTTTGAGGGGTTCCCACATGCATCCAACCACATAAAAATGCTGAAGCCTTGACTGCTCTTGTGGGAGATGTCTAAGAGGGGACAGCCAGTCTGGCCTGGGAAGCCGGCAGGACCGCACAGGGCACGGGGACTCCTCCATGGGCCATGCCTCATTCCCCTCCTGCTCCCTCCCTGCAGCACTGTGCCCTCCTACAGCTCCAGTGGGACCGCGACGCCCACCCAAGGGGTGAACATGGCCAACAGCATCGCCAGCCTGCGCCTCAAAGCCAAAGAGTTCAGCCTCCATCAGAACCAGGTGCCGACCGTGAACTGACCAGGGCAAAGCCCACCTCATGGCCTCATCCAGGATACAGCGCGGAGCTCCTGTGCCAGCCCAGGACGAATCCGCCGCCCGCCCAACCCAAATGCCACTCATCCAACGTCTCAGCACCTCTCCTCTCCTCTTCTCTTCCCTTTTGAAGGTAGAGTCAGTCCCAGGCCGGAGTGGCACATAATTATAGCCACATATGGAGCAAACTTGGTTAGAAACTTGCTTTTCCGCACACCCTTATAATAAAGGCTATATATACACACACATACCCCCCACGCGCTCTTCGAGGACAAACAGATTTGCCAAGGGAACAAGAATTTGCTTCCAAACATGGAAGGATCTTGGACTATTGGATTTGACCAATTTGGGTATCTCACCCAGAGAGCCAAAGAGTTATTGGGTCTTCTCCTCCCACAGGGACAGCATGCAGCAGTGGGAGGATCACGAGCCCCCCTTTCCGCCGGGCTGCGACTCGCGGCACTCAACCGCGCGTGCCGAAGCTGACCCGCGCATTCGCCTCTTTGTGCATCCCCAGCCATGGTGCTTGGGAGAGACTTTGGGAAGCCGATGGCTCGCCCCTGCTGTGGCCGGGCCCGGATCGCCCCTCCTGTGGCCGGTCCTGGCCAGCCCCTTGCATCACGCTGCCTGTGTTTAGGAGCTGCCTATGTCAATGGCATCAGGCTTTGTCCCTTCCCAGAAGGGCGAGGAGAGCTGGAGCATCTCGACAGACTTGCTTGGAGCCTGTGTGCATTCCCGTGAGATGGGGAGAGCATCGTCAGTCCCCAAGCAGGCACCGCTGCCCTGCCTTGGTGGGTTTGCCAGCAATTCTGCAGAGCCCCAGGTCATTGAACCATCCC